GGTGTGGTTTAGAAGAGCCAATCAAAGTCTTGCTCGTGATTCATAAAGCCTTTTCTGTAATTTTTGCATATGTAAACCCACAACAGGTTCATGGTCATGCTTCTTGTTTTGTTACCCTCTCCTCTTGTTTGTATCTAAACTCTTAATGGTTTTTCGTACCCGCTTTATCGAAACATTATGCTGCTGTTCATCATTTATACCTTTGGAAGGTTAGATTTGAGTTCACGAATGATTATGATAAAGTGTTTGCGTGATTTTAGGTATAGATCTGACTTTGGTAAGAATTGAATCTTTTATTTCACTTGATCTGTTTGACCGAACTTGTATCAACAAAAACTTATATTTTGTCTTCTCGGGGACATCAAGGGTGAATTTCTCTATATTAGTGAATGATTAATAATAAAAACTATGTATATGATCGAACACGTTCTCTTTGCATTCAATTTTTTTTTGAATTTATCTATAGGTTGGTTATCATCGTCAATTTCCTTGCGTCTAAACAAGATTTGAATATTTTCTACGTTGAAGAAAGAACAATAAAAAGAAAAAGACATAACAAGAGAAAAAAATTAATATATACCACAAGATTGTCAAGACAAAACATAAACTTGTGTTAGAGTTACAAACGGAACACTGTAATTTTGGAATCTTTTTACGTGTTCAAAAGATCAGTCATATACTTTCAAATATTCTTATATCGAAACATTTAGTATAAGAAAGGTAGTATTTTGAGAGAAATTTTTTTTTTTTTGCAAGAGATTCTAAGTTATTTATCTAAATATAGACTTGATACGCAATCTAATTGTAGACTTCGTAAGTCTGTATAAATGAGTTAAATGATACTTAAACAAAAAAATTAGTTGGATTATAACTGAATATGTGAAATTCAAACATGAGGAAGAAAAATAAGTAACACAGATTTTAGATCAAGAAAATACTAGTAGACTTAAGCCAGACGTCTACCAACAACACCTAAGTACTATTCAAACAAGAAAATTGATTTATACAATAAATGTTGCACCTAAACATGTCAAATTCACACAGAAGGAAACACATTAGATAACACACATGTGGGAGCAAGAAAATCTAAAAAATTCATTATAAAGAAGTTTTAAATGCATTTCTAAGAAAATTAAATCTGCAGACTTCACAAGCAGGCTTCTACAGTGGACTCGGGTAGGCTGTCTATTAGTAAACTTCCGGTGAAGTATACAAAATGGTTTATTTTTGCAATTACGGCAAACGCTAGCAGACTTCATTAGCAGTCTATTAGGTTACTTTTGCATTTGACCAGAGTTTGACTTTTTCAGTAGACTTCTCTATGAAATCTGCTAAGTAAAAAAAGCTATTTTTGCAATTGACTAGATTTTGACTTTTCCCAGTAGACTTCTCTTGCAGTCTACAAAATACGCGGAAAACCGTCGAAGGTCCAGCAGACTGCATAAGAAGTCTGCTGAAATGAGTAGACTGCATAAGAAGTCAGCTAAAAAAGGACATGTTACTTTTGTAATTGACCAAATTGTTGACTTTGTGAGTAGACTGCATAAAAAGTTTATTCTAAAAAAATGTTAGTTTTGTGTTTGACCAAATATCGAATTAATTTAGCAGAGACTTCTCCTGAAGTCTGCTAATTAAATGAATTAATAACAGACTGCATAAGAAATCTGCCGATAAATGTTTTTCCTGGTCAATGTTTGTGCTTTTTGTCAAACGCAAAACTAACCCGTCCGTACAGAACAGACTTCTGATGGGGTCTGCTCAAAAAGTCAACAATCTGGTCAATGCTAGAAATAACCTCGGAG